CATGCAACCTGCTGAAATGGGGTGTCTGCCTTCCTGTGTGTGCCCTGCGGCGTTTTGATATGATTGCGGCTGCACACTACCACCTGACATCCTGGATATTCAAGCTTATTGAGCTCACACCCAGGCTCAGTTGCTGCCCTGCCGGCCTGGCAACCTTGCCTGATATCATGGCAAAGGCTTACCTAATTGCTCAAAGCAACACCCTCATTCGCATATGTGCGCGTGTGCGCACTCCCGCCCCTGCACACACTCGTGCACACACGCACACACAATTGCATTCACAACCTGATCACGTGCGTGCATGCACACAAGCACGCAACCACACGCACGCTTGCATGCACATGCACACGTGCTGCGCCACCTGTAATACATTTGTTGTTGGTTCGGTCGGGATATGCAAGGGGCTAGCGCAGCTGGGTCAATAGCAAGTATGCGCACCATTGGGTGACGGTGAGAATGCCACTTGGGAGGTATTGCAGCCCTCTTCTGTCTCTGCTTCAACGGTGTATCGGGGAGAAACTTCGCCGGGTACTCAGCCCTGCCAGGCGTTGCAGCGCTTTGTGGAGGGAGTGTGTGCTGCAATGTGGCATGCGGCGTCATTACGCCTTGTGGCTGACAGTGCCGTTGCCAAGGAGCTCGGCTGCATGAAAGCTCATGCGCGATGCATACGGTAGTGCTCCGCTGCATCAACAACCCGTGCGTCCCGGATCTCTGTAAGTCTTGTTCTTAGCGGAAACATTGTTCGCGTTGCGTGTTTGTGTTCGCGCCTACAGTGCCTGACACTGTGCGCCAGGTCGGCGTTGCGCGCAAGTGCTGCAGGTCGAACCCAAAAAAATGCTTGCCGTTGCGACAATCAACTAGAAGTATACCTCAACTACCTTGGAGTCGTAGTCGGTCGTCACCGTCTCACCAGGGATCAAAGGAACAGGTGTGCGGCAGCCAGCGGAGTGCACAAAGCGAGTGGGGTATCCCTGCCCGTACCCGTTCCACCGGGACTCGTATCACAAAATCACATTGTGTGATGAGTTGCTTTTAGTCAACATTGCTATTGACGCAAAAGCTCTATTAAACAAACGCGCCATTCATCGCACGAATAGAGATTGCGAGTGACTCGTCCGAGCACGGCGCGGGCGACATGTACTTATAGCTGTTACAACTTCAATCTAAAACTGCACGTAGTTGTCATGGACGCGGCTGTCCAGGCCGTGGCGGATCGCACGGAGGCGGCACTCGCACTTATCTACGACCCAGCACTGCGCGCCGCTGCCCGCCGCCGTGCCGGCGCCTCAAAAGTGCGACGCCTGGTCTCAAAAGCCATTCAAGGGATCCAAACGGCATGCAGGGAGCTGCCGCAGGGGCTGATGCTGCGGCCCGCGGTCGTGGCATCCCTCCTGGCTATGCTGGAAGACGAGTCGACAGCCACCCTGCCGATGGATTTGGCCATCACCGCCTGCTCCTGCTTCATTGAGACGCCTAGCTGCTTGCAGCAGGTGCGTCTGCGGCCATGGTGGTGCTGCTGCAAAGGCGGAGGATGAGCAAGGAACGCCAGCCGCTGCTCCGGCCGACATATGCTGGCCCCAGCCGGCAGATGCTGGCTGCGGACGGCGGGCACGGCAGCGCGTCTCTAGAAACTGACCAGGCCTGTACGCCCATGTCTGCGGTGCTCCTCTCCAGGGCAGCGGCTTGCACCAACCAGCTCACCCCGCCCCCGCCAACGCCCCCGGCCAGATGGCAGACGCAGGGTACGCCCAGGCACTGATGCGTGTGGCCGTGCGCGGCGACATCGACCGCGACTCGCGCAACGGCGCATGCGACGTCATTCACGCGCTGTGTCAGTGCAGCCCCTCGGTGAGGCTTGACCTCCTCACGATGCCTGAGGACGTGGCCGGCATTCTCATTGCCGCGGCAAAGGCCCCAGGGACACAGGTGTGCGCGGGCGGGCCGCTGCTGGTGCTCGGAGAGCTGTTGTTCGTTCCCACTGAGGACGACGGCGGCGGCGGCGCGGCGGCGACGGCGGCGGCCGCGGCTGCGGCTGCGGCTGCGGCTGCGGCTGCGGCTGCGGCGGCTACGGCAGAGCGCATCGCGGGGGACGGCGCGCTGCTGGACTTCGTGCGCCGCCAGCTCGCCGGCGACGGCGACACGTTTGGTCCCGCCTTGCGGCTGGTTAGGGCCTTGCTGCGGGACCCCTCGCGCCGCCGCGCACGGGAGGCGGCGGTCGCCGTGCTCGGCGACGGGTCGCCCATGCTGCTGGGCGGCGGCGGTGCGCGGCTGGGCGACCCTCACATGGGCGACAGGACTGCAGTGCTGGGGCTGCTCATCGCCGCGTGCGGCGAGGAGCAGCGAGCGGAGGTGGCGGCCGTGGTTGTCGAGCGCGGCGTCATCACGCTGTTGCTCAGGGCGCTGACGAACACAGATCACACCATCAGGGCCAGCGCCGCCGGTTTGCTGCTCGTGCTGTGCAGCTGCCCCGTCACACGCGCGGCCGTCTGCGCGCACCCGGCGGCGCTCGCCGCGCTCGCCAACGTGCTGCGCGCCACCGGCGCGGCCGCGGGCGCCGCGGACGACGAAGAGGCGCAGGAGCTCGCCGCCCTCGCGTGCGATGCGCTGCAGGCGGTCTGCTTCCTCATGGCGCACAGCGCCGCCGCACACGACACGTTCGCCGCGATGGCGCTGGCCCCGTCTGGGTCAGGCATCCTCGATTACGTGGCGCGGCAGCTGGCAGCGCCCGCCGTGGATGAGCGCGCCGGCCCTGGCGACCGTCACCGCCTGGCAGGGCTGGCCTGCGCCATCTCCGCCCTCAACGTCCTCACGCGCGCGGCGCGCCGCGGCGGCCGGCTCGCGGCGCTGCAGAGGAGGCGTCCCCTCGTGCTCGGGGCCGCCAGGGCGTTGTTGCATATTACGGATGGCTTTCGCAGGCGCAGGCGCCCGCATGATGGGGGGCCGCCAGAGCAAGATGAGGAATGGATTTGGGGGACGGCAAAGTTGCTCGTGTTCGCGCTGGACACCCTCACTGACGCGACTACAGATGGCGGCGGCGGCGGCGACGCCGCCGCCGCGCTCGGGGCGCTGCATGAAAGTGGACTTGAGGCCTTGCAAGATTTCAGGGACGCAGCGACGTGTGCAGCCGACGCCCTCCTGGCAGCGCTGCCAGGTGGCGGCGTGGGCGCAGAGGCGCACAGACAGGAGCTGCAGCAAAACGCAGCGTTGCTCGCTGCAGTACAGAGTGTGGCCAAGCGATTTGAGGATATACTTCAGCAGCAGCAGGAGCAGGAGCAGGAGCAGCAGGAGCAGGAGCAGGAGCAGCCGCAGCAGTCGGGGGAGCAGCACTCATACACGAGTCAACAGCAGCACCAATACCAGCAGCAGCAGCAGCAGCGGCAGCAGCAGCAGCAGCACAATTCAGCCAACAGCACCACCAGCAGCGGCCGCAGCAGAGACAATTCCTCACCATACACAGCACCCACACAAGCAGGTGCAACAGCAAGATCGGCAGGGCAGCAGCGGAAAGCAGCGGCCTCCAGCAGCAGCAGCAGCAGCAGCAGCAGCAGTCACGCTCTGCCCGCGGTCGGCGAGGGCTCATCCAAGCAGGGCCGTGGGCGCACAGGCGGCGACAGCTGTGCGGCTTGCGCCAAAACGCCGGCGGACGGCGCGCGGCTGCGCTTGTGCCGTGGCTGCCGCTCAGTGCGCTACTGCAGCCTGGAATGCATGCGCAGCGCGTGGCCCGGCCACCGCCAGGCATGCCAAGAGAGGCAGGCCACAGCCAGCGCGGCTGCAGCACCCCAGGCTGTTTAATTGTTGCACCAACGCCCAAGGTTCCAGTGGTCTTGCCTGAACGTCTTTCACATGCACGCCATGATAGATCAAGTTGACTTTGTGCCGAATACTCATTATCATACCAAGTGCATGCCCAACTTTGTTTAACATGGTTGTGATGTATGTGTGCTGCAACGCTTGCAACAGCCCGATTGCAATCAGCAGCAGCGCTGTTGCGAGCAGCAGCACTACTGCGCATATGGTTGCCCAAACACCCAATTGCCACCTGCAAGAATGTGTTGTCTCTAGCCAGGTTGTTCCGCTTGTAATGCAGCTGCAGCAGGTCCCGCATGTTATCATGTGTGTGTGAGGATGTTGATATGATGCAGGCGTAGCTTTCATGCAAGGGGTCAAAAGCAGCTGAATCAAAAGCAAGTGTGCACTCCAGTGGGTGGCGGTGAAATTACCACGTGGGAGGTCTTGCAGTGCTTAGTGCGGGGAGTTTGTGTTTGTGATGTGGCGTGTGGCGTCCTGAAGCATGATTGCTGACAATACTGAATGCCTAGCAGCGCCGATGCATGAATGCATACGGTACCCCTGATGCATGGTGCTCCCCTCCGCTGCCTCACTCGACTTGGTTGGATCAGTCATCCTGTCTACCGCATGTCAAGTCGGCGTTGCGCACAAGTGCTGCAAGTCGATCCAATTAGGCTGCTGCAAGCTGCACACATCAATTTTTGCTTTCGTAAGAACGGCTCAATTTGTCGCACGGATCAGATTATGATCAGAGCATGGTTTTGCTCTGGCACGTCTGAGCAAGCCGTGGGTGACATGTAATGTACCCTTAGCTGATACATTTATGACACAAAAATATACGCACGCAGCCATGGACCCGGCCGCGCAAGCCGTGGCGACCCGCGTGGAGGCGGCACTCGCACGTGTTGTCGACCCGGCGTTGCGTGCCGCCGCCCGCTGCAGGGCCAGCGCCTCAAAAGCACGGCGCCTGCTCCGTGATGCCGCTGAGGGGATGCTAACGGTGTGCGCTGCGCTGCCGCAAGGGCTGCTGCTGCAGCCCGCGACGGTCGCATCCCTGCAGGCTGTGTTGGCTGACGAGTCAGCCAGCATGCTGGAATTAGATCTGGCGATTGCCACCTGCACCTGCTTCTTCGAGGCGCCAAGCTGCTTGCAGCAGGTGCGTAGGCGCCCGTGGTGCAGCTGCTGCGAAGGAGGAGGAGTGGTGTGCCTCGGAGGAGCAAGCTATGCCAGCCGCTGCTGGGGCCGACACGTGTGCGCGATGAACGACGGGCACGGCAGCGTTCGCCTGGGAACCGACCAGGCACCCTGTACATGTCCTCCATGTCTGCGGTGCTGCTCGCCAGCGCAGCGGCTTGCGCCAACCTGCTCTCGTTGCGCCCGCCAATGCCCCCTGCCAGATGGCCGACGCAGGCTACGCCCAGGCACTCATGCGTTTGGCGGCGCGTGTCGATCTCAGCGGCCACTCGCTCAACATCGCGTCCAACGTCTTGCACGTTTTGTGCAAGTGCAGCCCGTCACTGAGGTTTGACCTCCTTTTGATGCCCGAAGACGCAATTGGCGTTCTCATCGCTGCGGCGAAGCGCCAAGGGACACAAAATCGGGCGGGCTGGCCGCTGGTGATGCTCGGAGAGCTGTCATCCTCTTTGGTAGCAAACGGCAGCAAGGACAGCGCGGCGGCGGCGGCGGCGGCGGCAGCGGCAGAGCGCATCGCGGGGGACAGCGCTCTGATGGAGGTCGTGCGGCTCCAGCTGGCCGGCGACAGCGACACGTTTGGGGCAGCCCTGCGGCTGGTCAGGGTCCTGCAGGGCCACCTCACACGCCGCGCGTGGGAGGCCACCGTCGCCGTGCTCGGCGACGGGGCGTCCGTGCTGCTGGGCGGCGGCAGGGCGCGGCTGGACGACCCAACCCTGGCTGACCGGCTGTCAGCGCTGGCGGTGCACGTCGCGGCGTGCGGGGAGGAGCAGCGTACAGCCGTGGCGGCGGTGGTCGCCGAGCACGGCTTCATTGGGCTGCTGCTCAGGTCGCTGACCCACCGAGATCTTGCCACCAAGACCAATGCCGCTGTCGTGCTCGTCGTGCTCTGCAGCTCCCCGGTCGCCTGCGCGGCCGTCTCCGCACACCCAGCGGCGCTCGCCGCCCTAGCCAATCTGCTGCGCGATGCCAGCGCCGCGGCCAGCGCCACGGGTAGCGAAGATGCGCGCGAGCTCGCCGATCCCGCGCACAACGCGCTGCAGGCGATATGCTTGCTGATCGCGCACAGCGCCGCCGCAGGCGACGCGTTCGCCGCGATGGCGCTGGCCCCGTCTGGCTCGGGCATCCTGGCCGCGGTGGAACGGCAACTGTCTGCGCCCGTCGTGGCCGAGTCTGCCGGCCCAGGCGACCGTGACGACCTGCCAGTGCTGGCCGCCGCCGCCACCGCCCTTAACGCCACCACTTTCGCCGCGCGCCGCGGCGGTCGGCTCGCGGCGCTGCAGACGAGGCGTCCTTTCGTGCTCGGGGCCGCCCAGGCGCTGGTGCGGGTCGCGGGAGACCTTCGCGGCGACGAGCGCCCGCTTGACGGGGGCCCGCCGCCAGAGCATGGTCAGAGGCTCACGTTAAAGGCGGCCGAGGCGCTCTTAGCCGCGCTGGACTGCCTCACGGACGGCACCGCAGACGACGGCGGCGCCGCCGCTGCGCTCGGGGCACTGCGTGAATGCGGGCCCGAGGCGCTGCAGGCTTTTGGGGACGCGGCGGGGCGCGCGGGCGACGCCGTCATGGCGGCGCGGCCAAGTAACGGCGCAGAGGCGGACAAGCAAACGCTGCAGCATGACGAGGCATTTGAAGCTGCCATGCCTATGCGCCTGGCGAGGCGATTTGAGGATCTCCGGCAGCAGCAGCAGCAGCAGCAGCGGCAGCAGCAGCAGCAGCAGCAGCAGCAGCAGCCACACCCGAGTCAGCAGCAACAGCAGCAGCACCAGCAACATCAGCAGCAGCAACAGCGGCGGCAGCAGCTGCAGCAGCAGCTGCGACACCAGGAGCAGTCGCGGCAGAAAGAGGTAGATCAACATCAGCATGATCAGCAGCAGCAGCAGCAGCAGCAGAAGCAGCAGCACCAGCACAAGCAACACCAGCAGCAGCAACACCAGCATCAGCAGCACTACCAGCAGCAGCAGCAGCAGCACCAGCAGCAGGACTCAGCCGCCAGCACTACCAGCAGCGGCCGCAGCAGTGGCGAGCGTGCAACAGGCGTTGGTCTCGCACCAGCGGGTGCGGCAGCAAGTTTGGAACAGGATCGGCAAAAACCGCTGGCCTCCAGCAGCGGTAGCAGCGGCAGCAGCCGGGCTTCGCCCGCTGTCGGCAAGGGCTCATCCGAGCAGGGGCACGTGCCCGCAAGCGGCGATAGATGCGCAGCGTGCGCCCAGAAACCGGCGGACGGCGCACGGCTGCGCTTGTGCCGTGGCTGCCGCTCGGTGCGCTACTGCAGCCTGGAGTGCATGCGCAGCGCATGGCCCGGCCACCGTCATGCATGCCAAGAGCGGCAGGCAGAAGCCAGCGCGGCTGCGGCGCCACAGGCTGTTTGATTGCTACATTTAGGTCAGGCTTCTAGTGGTCTTGCTCGAGATAGCTTACACATGCATGACATCACAGATCAAGTTGATTAGGATCAGTACAGTTGAGTTGGTGCCGGAGAACTATTGCCGTATCCCAAGCATTAATATTTATAATTCCGATTGTATGAGCTGTAAGATAGCTTGCAACAGCCCCAGCGTAATCACAGGCATCAGCGGCATGAATTTGCCCTGAATCTGCACGTGCACGGCACTGCCTTGCATGCCAGCGCCGCTGGCTGCTACGTGCTCATGGACGCGCGCACATGCGCACTGCGGTGTTGCTGCTGTGCGTGTGCCTGTTACTTGTGCTGGCTTCGATCCTTCCACAGCTTGCACTCTGTCTTTTTCTTTGCGTGCACAGCACCGCCTTGCATGCATGCGGCGCAGCCGCCTGCGCGGCTCCTTAGGCGCGCAGCGCGCCCCCCCGCCCCCGACTACCCCTTGCACGCACGCATGGCACTGATGGGCCATCGTCACGGCACGCCTCATGTAATGATAAAATACCCAGACAGGTACCCCTGCAGGCCCAAGCAGCGGGCATCAATGCTGCTGCATGTGGCCAGGAGGCGTGGCAAGACTCCCTAGCTAATCATTCCGTAACGTGTCCCCTGGAGCTCCTTAAATCTCCTTAGCTTGCGAGCCAGCAGGACCCCACAAGTCCTTAGATAATCCTTAGCCATCCCCTACAGCTCCTTACAGCAGACCCCCAAGGAAAGGGTAAGGAAAACCCCTGTTGTTGCAGTGTGCGATGCCCTCCTGCTGGGCGCCAGCTGCGGTCGCTCTACAGCGCACGACCTCTGTAGCGGGTCGGAGGCGTGCATGTGCGCACCAGCCAAAACAGAAGGCGCTGCACACCACCACAATAATTGCTGTGCACAAGCACGCCTCCCTCCTTGGCCTGTGGACTAGCCTCCGCTGCTGCGCCTCACTGCACTCTTATGATGCAAATTCCATCAGCATCAACGTTTGAAGCCTGATACCACACACCCTCTCACCCAATCTTTTGTATCGCACCGCCCCGGACGTGCAGGGATTTCCATGAGTCATTCATGGAGCAGTACGCATGACATCATCAAGTCGGCCCGACATACCCGCCAGCTCAGCGCCATGCTGCTGCCCATATCCCGATTGCAGTTACTCCCATGAGCCGCTGTACCGCCCAGCAGTCAAAGCCAACCATAGACCTCGCTGCCTCGTCCATCACATCGGCCCCTTCCTGAATCACCCCGCGCGGCGCCGCCACCGCCTCCTCAGTCCCTGAATCTCATGGGCAACAAGCCCACCCTCCTGCAAGAATGTGAGCGAGATCCTTTTTTGTACCACCTTGCTTGAATACCACCATCCTATCCGCTCACGCACACATGTTTTCGTTGATGAACGACAGTCGGCTATGGCTCATATTGGAGCTCTTACAACAGCTACAAGGACGCCGCGCCCACAGCGCCAAGCTGGCAAGCAGCTGCTCGGCAGCTTCCGCAACCACGTGCTGCTCGTGCTTGCCGGTGGATCAAGCAACGTGCGGCACGCCAACGACAGAAACGACCTGTAGCGCTGCTGTTGGCCAAGGGGCCGATGCCGGCCTTTGGCAGCGAACAATGCGCACACTAAGAAATCACCAATGCAGTGAGCCAATAGTGGCTGATTCTCGTTGGTGGTGCTGCAGGAAGGTGTCAGAGCTTTGAAGACCTGCCACCTGTAGGATCACGGGCTGCTGATTGTCGTGCCCAGGCGTGCTGCTTGGCTGGGGTGCCTGCCTGCCTCTATGTGTCATGCTGTCAATGGCTTTATTTGCGGATACACTCTAGCACCTGGCATGCTGCTCATTTAAATTCGTCGAGCTCACACCCAGGCGCAACTGCCCCACCCTGCCGGCCTGGCAAGCTTGCCTTAGGGCAATCCAAGGCATACCTGCTTCATCAAAGCAACGCCCTCATGCATATACGTGCGGGCGGGCGCACGCCTACCCCGCACATACACATGCACGCACACACTCACAATCGCATGCACATGCGTGCGCACAACTTGATCACGCGCGCGTGCACGCATGCACATGCTCAGAAGCACACCAACATACACACGCTTGCATGCACTTGTACGCCTGCTGTGCCATCTGCAACGTAACTTTTTGTTGAGAAGGTACATGCAAAGGGTCAAACACAGCTGGTTCAGCTGCAAATGTGGCGACATGCAAGGGGTCAAGCGCAGCTCGACCTGGGTCAGCTGCAAGTGTGCGCGCCAACGGTTACAGCTGTAGGGATGAGAGTACCACTTGGCATCGCAGTGCTGGGCACAGCACCATTTTCCAAGCAGCTCCGCCGCATGGATGCATATGCGCGGTGCATTGCCGTCCGCTGCCTCACCCAGTCACTTGTCATCTTGGATCAGTCAGCCTGGCTTCCGTAGGAAGACTCGGCGTCGAACGCCAGTGCCGCAGATCAACCCGACTAGACTGCTTCAAGCTGCCCTAACCAACGTCCGTCTTCAACCGAACGAAAGTCAATTTGTCGCACACATCCGAGCGTCGACTCGCCCTGGCAGGTCTGAGCAAGGCGTGGGTGACATGTACCCTTAGCTGTTACAACACTGACACAATATCATACACACGCAGCCATGGATCCGGCCGTCCAGGCCGTGGCGGATCGCGTGGAGGCGGCGCTCGCGCGTGTCTGCGACCCCGCATTGCGCGCCGCCGCCCGCCGCCAAGATTGCGCCTCAACAACACGCCTGCTCAAGAAAGCAGTCAAAGGGCTTGAAGGTCATGCGAGGCGCTGCCACCGGGGCTGCTGCTGCGGCCCGCGACCATCGCATCTCTCCTGGCCATATTGGTTGACGAGTCAGCCAGCACGCTGGAGTCAGATCTCGCAATCGCCACCTGCACCTGCTTCTATAAGGTGTCCAGCTGCTTACGGCAGGTGCGTCCGCGGCTGCAGTGGTACTGCTGCAAAGGACAAGGGATAAGGGACGCTGGCTGCTGATCCGGCCGGAACACGCCTGTGCTGGACGGCGGGCAGGGCAGCGCGTCCCTGGAAAGCGAGCAGGCCTGCACATGCTTTGCATGTCTGCATTGCGGCTTGCAGCAACCAGCTCTCCTTGCCCCCGCCGACGTCCCCCGCCAGATGGCAGACGCGGGCTTTGCCCAGGCACTCACGCGTTTGGCGACGCGCGGCGCTTGCAGTGGCACATCGCTCGACCAGGCGTGCATGGTCATGCACGCCCTGTGCAGGTGCAGGCTTTCAGTGAGGGACGACCTCCTCTTGATGCCTGACGACGCGGCCGGCGTCCTTATCGCCGCGGCGACAGCCCCAGGGGCACAGGAGTGCACGGGCGGGCCGCTGCTGATGCTTGGGTTGTTGTCAGTCGTTTCGACTCAAGGCGGCAGCGGCAGCGGCGCGTCGGCAACGGCCGCTGCTGCAGCTGCGGCGGCAGAACGCGTTGCGGGGGACGGCGCTCTGATGGAGGTCGTGCGGCGCCAGCTCGCCAGCGACAGCGACGCGTTTGAGTCAGCCTTGCGGCTGGTCAGGGCCCTGCTGAGCTACCACGCGCACCCCCGCCTGCTGGAGGCCGCTCTCGCCGTGCTCGGCGACGGGACGTCCGTGCTGCTGGGCGGCGGCGGGGTGCGGCTGGGCGACCCTTCTTTGGACAACAGGCTTTCCGTGCTGGCGCGTCTCCTGGTGACGTGCGGCGATGAGCAGCACGCGGCCGTGGCGGCTGCGGTGGCCAAGCACGGCTTCATCGGGCTGCTGCTCAAGGCACTGATCAACCAAAGTTTTGACATTAAGGCCAATTCCATCACCGTGCTCTTCGAGCTCTGCACCTGCCCCCGCTCCCGCGCGGCCGTCTCGGCGCACCCGGCGGCGCTCGCGACCCTCGCCAACGCGCTGCGCGCCGCCGGCGCGGCCGCGGGCGCCGCGAACGGCGACGAGGCGCACGGGTTTGCTTTGCTCGCGGACGACGCGCTGCTGGTGATCCGACGCCTGATTGCGCACAGCGCCGCCGCAGGCGATGCGTTCGCCAAGATGGCGCTGGCCCCGTCTGGCTCGGGCATCCTAGACGCGTTGGAACGGCAGCTGGCGGCGCCCCTAGGGGGCGAGCACCCACACATCAGCAACCGTCGCCCCCTGCGAGTGCTGGCCGCCGCCGCCACCGCCCTGGACGCCATCACGCGCACCGCGAGCCGCTGCGGCCGGCTCGCGGCCCTGCAGAAGAGGCGTATCCTTGTGCTTGGGGCCGCCCAGGCGCTGGTGCGGGTCGCGCATGTCTTTCAAAGGGACGGGCACCCGCGTGGCGGGGGCCCGCCCGAGCAGAACGAGAGGTGGGTGTTGAACGAAGCCAAAATGCTCTTGGCCGCGCTGGACTGCCTCACGGACGTCACCGCAGACGGCGGCGGCGCCGACGCCGCGCTTGCGGCGTTGCGTGAGAGCGGGCCCGAGGCGGTGGAGGCCTTAAAGGACGCGGCGGCGCGCGCGGCCACCGCACTTGTGGCGGCGTGGCCAGATGACGGCGCAGAGACGCACGAGCAGAGGCTCCATGACGAGGCGTTTGCTGCCATGCTTATGCGCCTGTCATTGCGATATGAGGATCTGAAGCAGCAGCAGCAGCAGCCGCAGCAGCCGCAGCAGCAGCAGCTGCCACACCTGGAGCAGTCGCGGCCGAACGAGGTAGATCAACATCATCATAATCATAATCATCATCAGCAGCAGCCACACCTGAGTCAGCAGCAGCAGGAGGAGCAGCAGCTGCAGCAGCGGCACCAGGAACACCAGCAGCAGCAGCAGCAGCACCACCACCACCACCACCACCACCACCACCAGCAGCACCACCAGCAGCAGCAGCACCAGCAGAACTCAGCCGACAGCACCACCAGCAGCGGCCGCAGCAGAGGCGACCGCGCAACAGGCGTGGATCCCGCACCAGCCGGTGCGCCAACATGTTTGGAACAGGATCGGCAAAACCGGCGGTCTCCAGCAGCAGCCGCGCTTTGCCTGCTGTCGGCGAGGGCTCATCCGAGCAGGGGCGCGGGCCCGCGAGCGGCAATGAATGCGCGGCGTGCGCCAAGACGCCGGCGGACGGCGCGCGGCTGCGCTTGTGCCGCGGCTGCCGCTCGGTGCGCTACTGCAGCCTGGAGTGCATGCGCAGCGCGTGGCCCGGCCATCGCCAGGCATGCCAAGAGAGGCAGGCCACAGCCAGCGTGGCCCCGGCACCACAGGCTGTTTGATTGTCACGTGGGAGTGAGGCCTCCAATGTGGTCTTGCTTGAGACTGCTTACAAATGCACGAGATGACGGATCAAGCTGATCAGATTTACAGTAGGATGGTTACAGGTGACTGGGTGCCGCACACTCATTGCTGTGCCCCAAGCATTATTGTTACAATCCTGATGTGTGTGAGCTGAAATATTGCTTGCCACAGCCCCAGTGTAATCACAGGCATCAGCGGCATGCCCTGCACATGGCATGTGCCTCAGAGCCCGATTGCTTCCTGCAAGGATGTGTTGTTTCAGAGCCAGCTCAGAGTACAGTAAAGCTGGTGTGCTTGTAATGCAGCTGCGTGCAGCTGTACTGTAATATCAATTACACATGTGATGTGAGGGCACCATGCGGGCGGTGCCGCTCTGTGTGGATGCTGGGCAGCGGCAAGGCAGCCGACTGCCGGCGCCCCCCCCCCCCTTGTAGGGGAGCGGGAGCGCACGCTGTGGACCGAACAAAACCAAGCGCTGACTGCGCTGGGCGTAGCGACAAGGATTTGCTGGGGAAGCAAAGAAGTAGGCGGCAAGCATGTTGGAAGTCACACAAGGCGCAGGACGGCACTCTCTCACAGTGCCAGGTGCCCACGAACGGCAATTGATTTTTGCGGGGTGAGGCGCGCACACTTCCTGAGAAAACCACTCATGGCGCGCCGCAAGCGTCGTCGCGCTTTTGGCCGTCAGCAGCCAGGGCAGCTGCCGGGCAGCGGCGCGCCGTAACGGCAGTACACAGCAGGCTCCGCATGGATGAATCATGTACGGTGTGTTTGAAAGTATCTCATTGATTCAAGTCCAGGTTTGAGGCTTGGTGCAGTGATGGGATGTTCAAGCTTAGTTGATTACCTGCCTGCAATGAGCGCCCTACGCTGCCTTGCATCCGCCCAGCCACAGCGCCAGCGCCCGCGCCCACTGCTGCCCCGCGAATGCGGCCCAAGCAAGCTGCCGCCCAGTACGCGTGCAGCGCCGCGGCCGTCCAGTCAGGCACGCGCCGCACGTCTGGGCCGCAGCGTCTGGCCAGCCACCAATGATGCGCCATCTCCCAGTGGTCAAAGCGGCGGGTCGCACCTGTCGGCCGGGCCTCGGCCATGTGGCGTGCCCCCTCGCGCTTGACCCGGGCCGCCATCTCATCAATGGTGGCAGGGACACGCGGCCGGAGAGCAGGCTTGGAAAGATTTGGGGAATACAGCATCGAAGTCTCGATTGAACACCGTCACAATTGAAGCATGTACATTGCTGCAGTCCAGTCCTCCAATAGTGACGACACCGTGTCGTCACTATTGGTGACGTCATACTGCTGTGACAGCAGTATGTAACGCACCTCCCACCCTGACATCCTGCATTAAAACAGTATTCACGCTGTCATGGCTGGTCAAGGACATTCATGCTGTATTCATCAATAGCACCCAAAAGTGAGGCCCGCACCCCACCGCACGCCCAGGCACCACCCTCCATGTGCTCATGCCGCATTTCGCCTGGAGCTTGAACTGCGGGCAGGAAGCTGTACGAAATGCCGGCTGCCATGAAAGCAGGCCGCATCCCACATCGTAGCGCGTCGCGCCGCGTGGATGCGAGCCGCCGAGGTGCGCAGGTGGCCCCGGCTCAACCCACGCCAGTCAACCTCGTCTGCATAGCGCTCTGCGCACTACTGAACCAACGCTGCTTGTCAGCACGCCTCCCTTCGTGACCCTTGCATCCGCCGCTGCGCCCCACAGCCCCACACCAATGCAACAATAGGAGACACCTAATGCTCACTCAGACTCCCGACCATATTGAATCAGCTCATGCGTGTTTTCACCAGATTCAGTAGGGTACGTCGCCAGTTGGAGCTCTTACAACAGCTTCAGGACTGTGAAGAGGCGAACGGCACCCTGAATCAGCTTTGCTGACAGTACTGATTGCCCAGCAGCGACGACGCATGGATGCATACGCGCGATGCCTGTGCTGCTGCTCGTCTGGCTCGTCTGCTGCCTGACTCGACCTCGTTTGAATCAGTAATCCTGCCTACCGCACACAAAGTTGGCGCCGCATGTGTGTGCCGCAGCAGGTGCCAACCAGACTGCTGTAGATAGTGCTTAAATTTGCCGCCACGAGAACGGCTCAATCTCTCGCACATATCTGAGAGTGGACTCGCCCCACATTCGAGCAAGGGGCGCCATGTACCCTTAAATGCTACAACTCCGACACAAAATCATACGCACGCAGCCATGGATCCGGCCGTCCAGACCGTGGTGAATCGCATGGAGGCGGCGCTCGCACGTGTCTGCGACCCGGCGTTGCGCGCCGCCGCTCGCCGGACAGCCAGCGGCTCACCAGCACGGCGCCGGCTCGCGGATGCGGTTGAGGAGATGCAAACGGTGTGTGCTGCGCTGCCGCAGGGGCTGCTGCTGCAGCCCGCGGCCGTCGCATCTCTCCTGGCTGTGTTGGCCGACGAGTCAGATCTGGCAATCGCCATATGCACCTGCTTCTTCAACGTCCCTAGCTGCTTGAAGCAGGTGCGTTTGCGGCAGAGCTGCTGCTGCTGCTGCTGCTGCTGCTGCTGCTGCTGCTGCTGCTGCTGCTGCTGCTGCTGCTGCTGCTGCTGCTGCTGGTGCTGCTGCTGCTGGTGCTGCTGGTGCTGCTGCTGCTGCTGCTGGAGGACAAGCAAGGCATTCCAGCCGCTGCACAGGCCAAAACATGCCGGCGTCGGACGACGTGCCCTGCAGCGCGTTCCCGGAAACGGCCAGGCGTGAGCATGATTGTCATGGGTTTCCAGGCGCTGCTCGCCATCGCAGCGGCTGACACCAATAAGCTCTCCTTGCGCCCTCTGACGCCCCCCGGCCAGATGGCAGACGCCGGGTACGCCCAGGCGCTTGTGCGCGCGGCGGCGCGCGGCAATCTCAGCCGCGACTCGCTCACCCTGTCGTGCGCAGTCATGCATGAACTGTGGAAGTGCAGCCCTTCAGTAAAGCTTGACCTCCTCACGATGCCCGAGGACGTGGCCGGCATCCTCATTGCCGCCGCAAAGGCCCCAGGGACACACAAGCGTCCGGGCGGGCCGCTGCTGATGCTCGGGGTGCTGTCAACCGCTTTGACGGCGGACAGCAGCAGCGACAGCGCGGCGGCAGCGACGGCGGCGGCCGCAGCCGCAGAGCGCATCGCCGGGGACGGCGCTCTGATGGAGGTCGTGCGGCGCGAGCTGGCGGGCGACAGGAACACGTTCTGGCCAGCCCTGCGGCTGGTGAGGGTCCTGCAGAACCATTCCACGCGCCGCTGCCTGCAAGAGGCCGCCGCTGCCGTGCTCGGCGACGGGTCGTCCGTGCTGCTGGGCGGCGGCGGGGCGCGGCTGGACGACCCAACCCTGGCTGACCGGCTGTCGGTGCTGGCGCTGCTCACTGCCGCGTGCGGCGAGCAGCAGCGTGCGGCTGTGGCAGCTGTGGTCGTCAAGCACGGCGGCATTGCGCTGCTCCTTAGGGCGCTGAACGGCCAAGATTTTGTAATCAAAGCCAACGCTGCCATAGTGCTGGCCGTGCTCTGCAGCTGCCCCCTCTCCTGCGCGGCCGTCTCAGCGCACCCGGCGGCGCTGGCGACGCTCTGCAAGCTCCTTCGCGACGCCAGCGAGGCGGCGCGCGCCGCGGACGGCAAAGATGCGTTAGAGCTGGTCGCCCTCGCGGCCGAAGCGCTGCGGGCGATCTCCTGCCTGATTGCGCACAGCGCCGCCACACACGACGCGTTTGCTGCGATGGCGCTGGCCCCGTCTGGCTCAGGCATCCTGGACGCGGTGGCGCAGCAGCTGGCGACGGCTGCAGTGGAGGAGTCTGGCGGCCGCGCCGACCGTCAACGCCTGCCAGGCCTAGCCTACGCCGCCACCGCCCTCAACGCCATCATATGCGCCGCGCACCGTGACGGCCGACTCCCGGCCCTGCAGGCGAGGCGTTCCCTCGTGCTTGGAGCTGCCCAGGCGCTGGTGCGGCTCGCGGATGAGTTTCGCAAGGACGGGCAGCCGCGTAACAGGGGGCCGTCGGCGGAGCAGGATGTGGGGTGGAGGCCGAAGGCCGCCGAGAAGCTTGTGGTGGCGCTGGACTGCTTCATGGACGCCAGTGCAGACGGCGCCGTCGCCACCGCCGCGCTCGAGGGGTTGCGCGAATGCAGGCCCGAGGCGCTGCAGGCTTTCAGTGACGCGGCGGTGTGCGTGGCCAGTGTCCTCCTGGCGGTGCGGCCAGATGACGACATGGGCGGGGAGACGCACCTGCAGAGTCTGCAAAACAAGACATCTCGCTCAGCGGTTACGGTGTCCTGCAATGTTGTGAAGCGGTTCCAGGATCTGCAGCAGCAGCAGCAGGAGCCGCCGCCGCAGCAGCAGCAGCCGCAGCAGCAGCAGCAGCAGCAGCAGCAGCAGCAGCAGCAGCAGCAGCAGCACAATCCAGCTGACAGCACCACGAGCAGCAACCACAGCAGAGGCGGCCGCTCTTCAAACGCGGCACCCACAGCAGTTGGTGCGGCAGCAAGTTCGGAACAGGATCAGCAGAAATCGGTGGCCTCCAGCAGCAGCAGCAGCTGCAGCAGCGGCAGCCACGCTCTGCCCGTGGTCACCGAGGGCTCATCTAAGCAGGGGTGCGCGTGCACGAGCGGCGATAGATGCGCGGCGTGCGCCAAGGCGCCGGCGGACGGCGCGCGGCTGCGCTTGTGCCGCGGCTGCCGTTCGGTGCGCTACTGCAGCCTGGAGTGCATGCGCAGCGCATGGCCCGGCCACCGCCAGGCATGCCAAGAGAGGCAGGCAACAGCCAGCGTGGCCCCGGCACCACAGGCTGTTTGAATGTTACATTAAAGTCAATTTCCAGTGGTCTTGCTTGGCAGAGCTTTCACATGCACGCCATGACAGACAGTTGACTTCATTTAGGCAGAAAAAAATTTGCCATGGCCAAGCTTGATTGTTACAATTTCCATGTATGTGCCGTTGAGAGCTTGCAACAGCCCCAGTGCACCTGCAGCAGCAATGCTGCGCCCGATTGCTATCTGCAAGGATGTTTTCGCCAACGCCAGGTTAGAGTAGCTGGTCTGTGTGCAATGCAGCTGCAGCAGGCACTGCTTGCCAAGTGTGTAAAGCATGTTTGTGTGAATGTATCACTTAGGATTAGAATAAGGATTGTAACAAGATATCGCGGTTGCCCGCTCCTAGAGCCATCCAGGCTCATGGCTTTGCTCCATGTGCAAATCTTGAACTTGATGCAGTGATGGGACGTACACGATGGTCGGGGATGGCCACCTGCCCGCAATCAGCGCCCTACGCCGCCCTGCTCCCGCCCAGCCGCTGCACTAGCGCCCCCTGCTGCACCACAGATGCCGCCCATGCCACCGCCCAGTACGCGTGCAGCGCGGCAGCCGTCCAGTTCAGCACACGCTGCACGTCTGGGCCGCAGCTTCTGGCCAGCCACCTATGGTGCGCCATCTGCCAGTCGTTAAATCGGCGGGTCGCTCCCAGCGGCCGGCCCGCGGCCACGCAGCGTGCATCTACGGCCTCACTCTCCACCCAGGCCGCAAATTCCTCACGGGGCGGCAGGGACGCGCGGCTGGGAAGTACGGTAGGCTTGAAGGGTTTCAGGGTATGTATCATTAAAATTTGGGGTGGCGATGTCCTGCTGCGGGCCGCCAGCTGCAGCCGCCCTGCGGCGCGCCACCTTTGTGGCTGGCCGGAGGCGGGTGTGCCCCCACCAGCCTGCCAGTTGGCCACATGTGAGGTCAAGGCGTGCTCATTGCCCTCTGCCCGTATCTCGAGCAGGTGTGCAGCCTGCGCAAGCGAGCGAGTTTGAAATGGTGGAGCGACAGCTGGGGAAGATGCTCTACGACAACTGCTTGGACGGCCTGCTGGGTGAGAGACCCCTGCCTGAGAGTGCTAGGCCTTCCCACGCGTGCCGCCAGATTACAGAGGGGCCCAGCCGACCTGTCCCGCATGTTTCCTCGACAGAAGGCGCTGCGCATGATGACACTCATCGGTGCGCGCCAGCACGCGTCCCTCCTTGGCCCCTGGGCTAGCCTGCGCTGCTGCGCCCCACAGCCCCTCTCTCCCGCATGGATGTGAGCGAGATACAGCTCCTTGATTGAATCACCACCAACCTATCTACTCACGCACACAAGCACCCACATCCATGCGCCCAATCTCTATCTGATTAAGCGTGCGTGCACGCCGGCATGCACATGGTCCCATTTAAACACGCCAACATACGCACGCTCACATGCACTTGCACACCTGCTGTGCCATATGCAATACGGTAAATTTCTGATTCTGTGGGGACAAGCAAGGGGTCAAACACAGCTGGGTCGACAGCAAGTGGGCGCTCCAGGGTTGGTGGTGAGATTGTCACTTATCAACCTGCAAGGATGAGGTGTTGCAGTGCGTTGTGCGGGGACTGCGTAATACAGCGCACTACACCATGACTGGCAATACCATTTGCCATGCAGATCCGAGGCATGGATGCATACATGCGATGCATCGCGCCCCGCTGCCCCACCCGAGCTTGGATTACTAAGAAACTGTCGGAGCACCGGTGGGGTGACCGTACTCAGCCTGTCTCCGTTCGGTCTCTGCACACCACGTCGGCGTCCTACGTCAGTGCTCCAGGACAAGCCGATTAGACTGCTTTCAGCTGCGTCAACCAACTTCGTCTGCAGCAGATACAATAGGCTTTGACATGATCATCGCAGATCTTATCATAGCGTGAACTCGCCCCATACCTATGGTTGTTACAAGACCAGATTAAAAATTATCACACCGCAAGTAGCGATGGATCCGGCCATCCAGCCCGTGGCGGATCGCGTGGAGGCGGCGCTCGCACTTGTCTGCGACGCCGCGTTGCGCGCCGCCGCCCGCCGCCGGGATGCCGCCTCAACAACACGGCGCCTGCTCGTCAACGCTATCAACGGGATGGAAACGGCATGCGCAGCGCTGCCGCAGGGGCTGCTGCTGCGGCCCGCGACCGTCCGATCCCTCCTGGCTATGTTGGTTGACGAGTCAGCCAGCAGGTTGGAGTCACGTCTGGCAGTCGCCACCTGCACCCGCTTCTCAAAGGTGTCGAGCTGCTTGCAACAGGTGCGTCCATGGGAGTGGTGTTCCTGCTGCAAACAACAAGAAACGAGGGACGCTGGCTGCTGTTCCGGCCGGAACGTGCATGTGCTGAATGGCGGGCGCGGCAGCGCGTCCCTGGGAAGCGACAAGGCTTACACTTTCTTTGCATGTCTGCATCTGGGCTCGCCAGGGCGGCGGCTTGCAACAACGAGCTCTGATTGCCCTCCCCGACGCCCCCCGCCAGATGGCAGACGCAGGGTATGCCCAGGCACTCATGCGCTTGGTCGCGCAGGGCGCGTGCAGTGACATATCGCTTGACCAGGCGTGCTTAGTCATGCACACAATGTGCGTTTGCAGCCCTTCAGTAAGGCTCAACCTCCTCATGATGCCCGAGGACGCGGCCGGCGTCCTCATCGCGGCGGCAAAGGCCCAAGGGACACAGGAGTGCGTGCGCTGCCCGCTCGTGTTGCTTGCGTCGCTGTCGCTCGATTTGCGGGAGAGCGGCAGCGGGGATGCGGCCGCGACGCCGGCGGAGGCGGCAGCAGCCGCGGAGGTGGCAGAGAGAATTGCAGGGGACGGTGTATTGATGGAGGTCGTGCGCCGCCAGCTGTCAGGCAGCGACAGCTACACCTTTGAGCCAGCGTTGCGGGTCGTTGATTCCCTGCTGAGCCACCACACGCGCCGCCGCCCACGGGAGGCCGCCGCGGCCGCGATCGGCGACGGGTCGTCCGTGCTGCGCGGCGGCGGCGGGGCGCGGCAGGGCGACCCTCATTTGGACGACAGGCTTTCGGTGCTGGCGCGTCTCCTTGCGACGTGCACCGATGAACAGCACGACGCGGTGGTGGTAGTTGTGGTGGAGCATGGCGTCATCCCACTGCTGCTGAAGGCGCTGACCAACCAGGATTTCTCCCTCAAGGCCAGCGCCATCACCGTGCTGGTCACGCTCTGCAGCTGCCCCCTCTCCCGCGCCGCCGTCGCTGCGCACCCTGCGGCGCTCGCGACGCTGGCCGATGAGATGCGCGCCGCCGGCGCGGCGGCGGGCGTCGCGGACGGCAAAAAGGCGCACGGGCTCGCTTCGCTCGCGAACGACGCGCTGCTGGCGATCCGCTGCCTGATCGCGCACAGCGCCGCCGCAGGCGACGCGTTTGCTGCGATGGCACTGGCGCCGTCTGGCTCAAGCATCCTGGGAGAGGTGGCGCGGCAGCTGGCGACGCCAGTACTGGGCGCGCACCCACACATCAGCCCCCGCCGGCCCCTGCGAGTCCTGTCCGCCGCCGCCACCGCCCTCGACGCCATCACGCGCGCCGCGTGCCGCTGCGGCCGGCTCGCAGCCCTGCAGAAGAGGCGTCCCCTTGTGCTCGGGGCCGCCCAGGCGCTGGTGCGGGTCGCGCATGACTTGAACAGGGACGGGCACCCACGTGGCGGGGGCCCACCCGAGCGGAATGAGAGGTGGGTGTTGCAGGCGGCCGAAATGCTCTTAGCCGCACTGGACTGCTTTACGGACGCCACCGCGGACGGCGGCGGCGCCGACGCCGCGCTCGGGGCGCTGCGCGAATGCGGGCTCGAGGCGCTGCAGGCTTTCAGTGACGCGGTGGTGCGCGTGGCCGACGCGCTCCTGGCGGTGCGGCCAGGCGCCGGCTCCGGCGCGGAGGCACACGAGCAGAGGCTGCAGCAAAGCGAGCCGCTGGCAGCTGACATGCCTACGCGCTTGGCAAGGCGGTTCGAGGATCTGCAGCAGCAGCAGCAGCAACAGCGGCAGCAACAGCAGCAACAGCGGCAGCTGCAGCCTCACGGCTCGGTCACCCCCACCAGCAGCGACTGCAGGCGAGGCAATTGCGCAGCACCCTCAGCAGCGGGTCTGGCAGCATGCTCGGGCCGTGAGCCGCGGGAAATGGGGGCCTCCAGCAGCGCCAGCCGTGCTCTGCCCATCATTGGCGAAAGGTCCGAGCAGGGACGCGGGCGCGCGAGCGGCAATGAATGCGCGGCGTGCGCCAAGACGCCGGCGGACGGCGCGTGGCTGCGCTTGTGCCGCGGCTGCCGCTCGGTGCGCTACTGCAGCCTGGAGTGCATGCGCAGCGCGTGGCCCGGCCACCGCCAGGCATGCCAAGAGAGGCAGGCAGCAGCAGCCAGCGCGGCTGCGGCACCCCAGGTTATATGAATGTTACAGCAGGTCAAGCTTCCAGTGGTCTCGCTTGAAACAGCTTTCACATGTATGAGGCAACATATCCAGCAGACTTGGTGCCTATCATAAATAATTGCCATGCACAAGCTTGTTCCTTACAATAGTACTGTATGTGTGCTTCAAAGTTTGCAACAGCCCCAGTGCAATCATATGATTGCATGCATGGGCACCACCAGCAGCATTGCAGTACATGCTTTCGCCACATTGCCCGACAGCTACCTGCGAGGATGCGTGTTTGCCAGCTCAGAATCGAGCTGGTCTTCTTGCCATGCAGCTTCAGGCTCTGCTTGTATTGCATACACATGTAAATGTGTTGATTTGATGCAGGTGCAGTCTCTGGACTTGGTGCAGCAACGACTGGCCTTGCACAGCTTGGATGGGGACCTGACTCTGAGCCATCAGCGCCCTACACAGCCTTGCGCGCGCTCAGCAACCGCGACAGCGCCCGCGCCCACTGCTGCACCGCGAACGCCGCCCAAGCTGCCGCCCAGTACGCGTGCAGCGCCGCGGCCGTCCAGTCCGGCACCCGTTGCACGTCTGGGCCGCAGCTCTTGGCCAGCCATTTGTGGTGCGCCATCTGCCGGTGGTCAAAGCGGTGGGTCGCCCCCGGCGGCCGGCCCCCGGCCACTCGACGTGCCTCCTCGCGTTCCACCCAGGCCGCCATCTCCTCAGGGGGCGGCAGGGACGCGCGGCCGGACAGCAGGCTTGGAGAAATGAGGTGTGTGTAGCAATGTGATTTTGGGGGAGATTTCTGTGAGGCTTGCAGCATGTGAAGGCTGCAGTGGGGTTCCCTGTTTATGGTGACACAGCAGTATTGCACCTCTTGCCCTGACCACCTGGGTACGACTGGCACTCAAGCCGGCATGACCACTCAACGGCACCCACAACATCAACGGCATGCAGAAGCGGGGCCCGCACCCCACGACGACCAGAGCTGCCACCCACCGTGCGCAGAGCTTTGCCTGGAGCTCAAACAGCGGGAAGGAAGCTGCGCGAAACGGCAGGCCGATGAAAGCTATGCCAGGGCCATAGGCTGGTGAGCGATCCAAGGAAGTGTGGGGTTGGAGGTGCTTATTAGTGCAAGCCACAGGTGGCACATGCTGTGTGTGCTGTATGTGCAGTGCGGCTCAACTTGAGACTGCTTGCCCGCCCTGGCGGGCATCGATCTCTCCCAAACGCCTATCAACACAGCTCCAAAAATGGTGCTGCCTCCCTTTCTGCTCTTGCAACTGCTCTTGTGGAGCGACCGCTTGGCTAGCCCGCAAGCGAACGCGGCGCACCTGGCACAAACAGATGCTGGAAGAGCGGCGCAACGCGCTGCTGCTCCGTGCTGAGGCCGAGCGCCTGCAGGTCAAGGAAGGGCAGCCGGTACTCGTAACCGGTACAGTAGATGACGGCGTCGAGCGCGGCCGCCGGCGCGCCGGCAGCAAACTCGGCGCCACCTGAAGTCCGTGGCGCAGCAGCAATTAGTTGCTTGTTCGTGAAGCACAGCACATGTAGACTTTCACCACAAACAAGCCAAGCGGATGCTGCCCTACAATGCATGATTGTTTCAAACAAGCAACACAGGCATGCGGCAGACCTGGAGTGCCCAGAGCTGGGGGCGGCCAGGGGACAGCCCCGATTCGGACGCACCTTCGGCCGTCAGGCGCGATATCATGCCGCGGCGCTCCACGTTTGACCGAGGGCCGAAGGGGCCGCCCAGAGCGCGCGCCGCGTCCCACTGCCGAGCGCAAAGGTACACGCGGTCGGCCTCCGCAGACACCAGCCGGCTGATGTCGCGGGCTGGAGTTGCCATAATTGGAAGGTGAAGGTGCACGCGGACCACCTCACCAGCTGTTAGTATTGATCCTGTGTTCTTCATCAATCAATGATATGAATGATCTAACCTCTCCCATCAACTATACCGTGCCAAACGTTCCTGCATTGTATTGCACTGTCTGTTTCTAAAGCTAGTCAGGGTCCACAGCTGCAAATATTGTCCCATGACAAAAAGGCCCGCGTTGCATGGCACAGCAATCGGCATGGCCGACGCCAGGCGGGCAGGTACAATGCCTGCCCAACCAGCCGCTGCCGCTCTCACCTGAGAAGGACGCGCCCACCACTGCCACCTGCTGCCCCCTGAACGCATCTGCGCGCCTGTAGCTGTGGC